TTTTTAGGTTTTTATTTTTTGTGTTATTGTCGAATCCCTGGTTTTACACTTTCCACTGTGTGTGACTGAACTCATGTTACTAACAGAGGTTTATTTTCTGCACAATGGTTTTCCAATTCATATTTATTTCCAGTTAATTAACTAATAATCAGCACTCTCCCAGACTCATGCACTGTAACTGGGACAGAGATCTGCTGGTTACATTAGCACAGTATTCCGCTGAACATATCCATTTAGTTTCTTTGTTGGGCTCAGCACCGTTATAAAAAGAAAGGCAATCCAGTTGTCTTCCTTTATTCACTAATACCCTCTGTCTTTCTGAGCCCACAGCTTCCTCCAGATATGCAGCACAATGGAAAGATGCTTCAGTGGCAGTGTGTCACAGTTCTGACTGCACACATTTGCCTAGGGTGGAGTGGGTTTGACAGATTTAACTACAGGGCTGCATGTAGAAACTTATTTTTTTTTTCAAGATTATTTTTGGCTTTCCTATCATCATGGGAGAAAACTAAATGGAGGGAGGAAGGAAAGTTTGCTCATTGTTTCTGTCACATATTATTTATGCTACAATTTCTTGCTTGAGATCAAATCGGCAATTTAACCCAATTATCTGGCCATGAAAACTGTCTACACAGTTTTCACACAGGCTGCATATAGTGAAAGTAACACAATATCAGAGCTTCAGTCCTCCATGTGTTCATGCCGGTGTGGCCTGTGCACACAGCTGCATGTGTTAAAACGGCGTATCTGCTTCATCAGAGCAGCATCAGTGCATAAGATGGAAAAAGGTTGAAGAGGAAAATGTATGTTTTGACCTCAAACTTTCACTTAGCCAACATTTGTACTTTGTGCATTATAAATTGTAGATTTTTCCATTTTAAAATAAATGCTCAAGGCAGTACAATGTGCAAAAAGTGTAGGGGTGTGAAGCAACTGTATAAACTGTAAATTTTGCTAGATTAATAAGAGGTTGTCAGATGAAACTGGAACTTACAGGGGTTGTCCCACATCAACAGAGGATGTTGACACAATTCCTACCACCATACTCTTCATTCTTGATTCCAACTGAGGAATTTTTTTTCTGCATGGGCAGCCTCTCCCCTTCTTCTTTTCTTTCTCAGCTATCAGCCCTTTGCCTCACTGTCTTGTTATCTTGGTCATGGGTCAGTGAAGGATCACATTCTGAGAGATGATACATCAGCAACCAAACTTCACTTCAAAACAAACTAACAAGCTCCACAGACAGACAGACAGACAAACTGGTCCAGGAATTCAGAGACAATGTGGTAGAACTGAAGCAGCCTCATCCAGATCGATTCACTGTTAGTTGGAGCAGCAGTGGAGAAAAAAACAGCAGCACAGACAAGAAAAACATGTTGCCATTCAGCCAGAGATGGTGTTCTTGCACCAGTAAAAACAAATGGGAAAATATTTTACAGTTTGGTTCATCTTGCTGTGCTCATCTCACTCTGTGTCCATATTCCCATAGTTTGTTCAAGGGATCCTTGCACCGAATCAGGCACATTTTTTATAATAATGAATATTTTCCATCCCCACTGTAGTTTTCATGGCCTCATAATACTAGCCCTCACAGCAAGGTTCTGGGTTTAAAATCACGTTTTAAAATGATTTTGATCGTTTTAATTTGGTGCAGAATTTGGACTGTACCGCTTCAGGGCCTTCATCTTAGGGCCACAGTGAGCCATATGGATGTATAATTTTGCTTTTCATTTCAAAATTATTATTTATATATTGATTCTTTTAAAATATGTTTCCTCTGCCTTTATGTAATCATCACATGACTATAAAATATAGATTTTAATGACTTCCATGTATTAAAAACAAGGACGCTCGTGCTCTCGTTTTCTCTGTGACGCCATCAACGTAGTGAATCACGCAGCAGCGGCTAAGATTGACAGTGGCGCGTAGACACATAAAAACGGATAGTTAGAGATAGGCTATCTAAAAGTGAGCAGATATTTAGGGAAACGGCAAAATTTACAACATATTTCAAGAAAACGGCAACAACTACGAATCAGTTTAGAGCGACACCCCCGGATACCGCTAACAAACCTATCCCCTCTCGCTAACGGTAACATGAATCAGGCACAACCTAGCATTAGCAGTTAGCATTAGCAGCACCTGCATTATTGTCATGACAACACTGAGGAGCCCACGGGAAACATCAAGACAGCAAGGCAGAGTAGAACAATGTTTGAACCACGTCTGAAGCACCGAACCATCACGTCTTTGGAATATGGTTCGTCAGTTGGACTTTGTGGACATTATCAAAGATTTTTCTTCAAAGACGAGCAGGAAAAGGGTCACTAATTGGTGAGTTAGAATGTACAGTTATGTCTGTGCAGATTTTCAGTCATCCAGGTCATAGTAAACTGAAAAAAATCAGTTACAGAACTGATGAAGCCTCTTGGATGAGAGGTGAAACGTCTTCGACCTAGAAATTTAAGTCCGGTTGATTTTTTTCTAAGTTTTTTCAATGTACAGTTATGTCTTAACAGTTACTTGGGTTTAATTGTTGCGTTTGCTGCTCGTGCGTGTTAAGTCTGATGCTGACCTCTGGTAGTTAGCACCTCCAGGTGCGCTGTGGTGCGGGGCTAACATATAGAATGATCATTGTTGTTTCCTTTTGTTTTTTAACAGTACAGTGCCCTTTTGCTGGTGTCAGACTGAAACGCTATAACTTTTTAACACCATGTTAGGTTATTTCCTAGTTAGGTAATGACCTTTGTCCTGTTTTTTGTAGTGTGATTTTTGTAACATGTCGTGTGATTTGTCTCTGGGTTCAAGCTCCTCCTGTAATGTAACTGTAATGTGTCTATATTGTTGCACTCAGCTGTTGTATAGTTCATTCATGCCTGGATGAAACACTGCTGCTAGTTTGCACACTGAGGAAGGGCATTTACCAGAAACCTTAGTGCAGTGTACAGTGGCACATGTGTGCATTTTGGTTACTTTGGCAAGGTTTTATTTATTCATATGGTCAGTGTGGTTCAAAAGCTACAGCTATTTTCATATGTTATTTTTGTGTTTCTGCCTGACAACAGGACATGTATTGCACATTCTTGATGTAAACACTTTCTGAATTTCTGAGGTTTTGTCAAAGTTTCTGGACTGTGGGCACTGAGGACTGTGCGGCTTCAAGGTGAAAATGACAGGAAAGGTGAGCCATAGCTCCCTGTATTGATTAAATAAAGGTCAGCAC